ACTTCATTCATACTAACAAATCACATACATACATGTATAATAACCTCAGCTAATTTAAAAATAATTTGGTTTTAAATATTTTCACATTGGTTTACTAAAAACACAGTTAATAATTTTTCGATTAGATTTATGGAGATCGGCAATTTTTACATGTTGAAATCATCAGAGGTTAGGCATCCGCGCACAAGACCAAAGGTCCTAGGTTCGAATCCTGCAAGGCGCATAGAGTTGTGAATATGCACTGTCACTGATGAGTCCCATGACAGGATGAAACGACCGTTGTTCAGTGCTTCCAAGTTTCTAATGGTCATCTGACAATGATTGCTTGATGAGTTCAACAGTTAATTATGGTGCATTGAGTCATTATGACACTGAACAAATTTATCCTCTATTAGTAGTAGTTTAATGAATGTTAATAAAGGTATTATAAATGCGAAAATTATCAGAAAATTGAAACATATGTAAATGTTGATAGGACAATGAGAAAATGTGATTGATTTGAAAAATAAATGAGGCTATTCTGACCAGGATAATATATGAATGATTTGTTGGTTATATGCGATAAACTTTTCAATCTCTCTCAATGTAACTGAATAATTTCAATACTCTTCAGACTATATGGCATTTTCCTAACACATAAAGCAGAAAGTGATAACCAATTACCCTTTCTTATAGACATACTGTCGAGTCGAATGGAACTATAAAGCAGTCAGTTTTTTTGTAGAAAACCAACCTGGACTAGACAATATTTAAATTCTAACAGTGTTTGTTCATTGCAACACAAGCGACGTTTGGTAAAATGCCTCTTCAATAGGGTCACAAAGAATATGCATCACGGATACATTTGAAAACGATGCGAAATTCTTGACTGAAACATTGATTTTAAACAGTTATCCACTAAAGTTCATCAATAGGTGTAGAAATCAGCTAAGACAAAAGTCTGTCTTTCATTCTGCTGAATGTTTACATCACTTTACCATTTAGAGGGGAATCATATGGTTCAATCTTAAGACAGCCATACAGAAAACATACTACGGTGCTATAATGATTATCATTGAAAAAACTGAGCCCATGATTCTACATACGCCCAGACAATGCTCGAACTATGATCACATCACATCCCATTGCGTTTATCAGTTTACGTGTTTGTGTGGACACTCATATACAGCGAGGAGTAATCGGACTTATCAACCAACGGTTATGGAATATGTAACTAAGTGGCTTCAAAATCAGTTAACGTCAGATGACCCGATTAGCGTGGGAAAATCATGTGTCATCGATTATAAAACACATAATTGAGACAGGGCATAAGATTGATATCAAGACAGCTTTGAAAATATTGCATAGAAAATTGAAGGACAAATCCTGAGGTTTATGAAAGTCTTGGCTTTTTGTAAATTTAAAAACACTCATTTATGTGTAGAGAAACAGTTTGTTGATAATCTTGACTTATTTACCCCTGGTAAAATCATCTTCAAGTCATATTATGGCCTAGGTTAGTATGACAATTTCCTACACTTTGTTATTCTTCTTCGTCCCATAATTAAGTTGAGAAGCTTATTTTTATTCTTTTCATTATGGGATTCAAAGAAATAATAGACTTGACTATGTATAACTGTCAAGCATTTAATAACTTAAGTTTGATATCATTTAGTCCAATAATCTAGGCACAGTATGCATATATTCAGAATAAGAAAACAAATTGGATCTTTGGACAGACAGCAGACAGATACAACACAGAACTTCGTACGTAAGTACATCAGTTCAGGTTGCCATATCACATCAGCACAGAGACGTAACTGTCAGTTAAAATCCAACAGTGATAGCAATTATAGAAGTATTATCAGTAATGGAGAAGATTAGGGAGCGAAGATATGATTCGAAAAGTATAATTCAGTAAGATAAATTTAGAAGGAGAAAGATAGAGATTATGAGGAATGTAGAAGCTTAGAATTTCATAGAACACAAAGAGTGGATGCACCTGCGCCATTGCAAACGATTCTAAGCCACGTCGTTCAAGGTCTCTAACCATTGGTGACTTTCGTCTCGCGGACCCCAATCAGGTAGCCTACATCTACCAACATGACTCAGTCCACTTGTCAGGGACTTCATGGATTTCTGCAATGTTTTGGTTTGGCCGCCCCTAACTTCCTTCCGACCTATTCCTACACCACAAAACATAGCTCGACGAGGCAGTCGGTAGTTGGCCATACGTAACACATGTCCCAACCACCTCAACTGATGAAGTTTCAATTCTTCATCTTTTGATTTGCCATCCCTACTTAGAACTCGTTTCCTAACGACAGCATGGCTAATACGGTTGTCCCATGATACACGAGCAATGCTTCGGAGACATCGATGATCGAAGAGTTGTAACCTACAAAAGTTCTCTACACTTAACGACCATGTTTCACAGCCATATAGTAGGATGAAGTGAACTACTGCACAGTACACTCGTCCTTTAGTCAGCAAACGCATATCTCGCCTACGCCATAAACGGCGTAAATTGGCAAAAGTCAATCAAGCCTTCTGTACCTGAGCTGAGATTTCGTCAGTCACCAGGACATCAGCACTGATGAGACACCCCAGATACGTGAAGCGGTGGTCTACATGTTCAACTACTTCACTCCCTATCGTCTTAGTTATTTAAGAATTAAGCTACACACACGTTAAATTAACTTTGAAATAGAAAAGGCTCATATAAAACCTAACCAATACACTTGCTTCAGGAGAATATAAATCTAACGCAATACTCAAAGAACGCTTCAATAGACTAGATCCACTAAACACCTACCCAACATCCAAGCAGCACACACCCACGCATGCTAATCAATGTTGATCCACCAACAGTTGGAGCGATCAGCATTGTCATCAGATAAATTAACAGTGGCACAGTAGCTGAACCAGACAACATATCAGGCGAGGTACTGAAAGCAGACACAGAGGTAACTAAAGAGATGTTCCATAATGTTCAACGAGATTTCGGAGGAGGAACAAGTACCAACAACCCGGAATGAAGAACACCTCGTCAAAATACCAAAGAAAAGAGATCTCAGAAATCATGCGAACCACATAGGCATCGGTCTGCTGACAACAGCAGGAAGTCTTCTCCATTGTGTTGTTGCAACAGATCAGAAGGCTAGATTCCGTGAGGATCGATCATCTGACGTCTAAATTAATCGTGACACTACGGATCATTGTGGAACAATCAATTGGATGGAGTTCACCAGTTTACAGCAACTTCATTGACAACGAGAAACCATTGGATAGCGTGTACAGGTTGACACTATGTTGTACCTGAGAAAGTAGTCAACACCATACAGAATTCATAAGGTGGATTAAACTGTAAGATCATGAATCGGGGACGGCTCACAGACTTATCCCAGTCAGTTAGATTCAATCTCCTGGGTTGGAAATGAATAAAAAAACCAACGTTTTCCGAAATAGTCTGACTAACAGTGGGATTCCTAATTCCCGCTTCCTTGGTAAGTCGAAACAGTTGTCTTCTGATGACTATCGCCGACGCTTTTTTCATCTCTCTCGCTTTTCATACCTACCGCTGCAACAGACGGTCGCCATTGTCTGTTCTATGAGCCGCGACACCATAACATCCACCTAGATGTCTTTCATTTCCACTTAGACTACCTACTTCAGCATTGGAATCACCAGTCGTTATTACTATATCAGAGCGCCTAACTTTTTGGAGGAGCCCCAAAAGCTTACTGTAGAACTCATCATTCATCTCGTTTGAACTGCAGTCAGTGGTAGCGTAAACAGAGACAACAAAGTTGCAAAAGCTAGTTCCCCTGTCTTTCCGAGTACGTGCTTTTCCGTTCAGTCGGACAGCGCACAAGCGACTATCTAGTGGAATCCAGTCTAAGAGAGCTAGTTCTGCCATACGACTCAATGCTATATCTACACCAGAGACACCCCGGGAAGCAGCATCAGGGCTTTCAGATACAAGAAGGGTAAATCGAATGGCTTCTTTATCTTGACATGGTGAGGTCAAGTGAATGACACTACTGGAATCATGCATGCGCGTTATAGAGACGCAGCATACATTGATAGCCCGTAGTCCTATTTAACCCAATGTGCGAACATTAAAAGCTCCAACATGTAATTTAGAACGGGATTTCAGGAGACCAGGATTATTATTTCGTGCGCTGTTGGGGGTACGGAGCCGGCTGCCCACACCTTGGGTGTTTCTTGAGGAATCTGAAAACAAAGGTAGATTAGTGTCGGCTTTAGAGACCTGTCAGCGTGACAACAGAGCCCAACGGACAACTGCTTGGAGCCGGTCACGCACGGCTTTTTTCAAGTCTTACCGCCAGAAACGCAAATCCGTGAAGCAGGGCGAGGTATGATCTCTTTTACCCCTCCCTACCTTGTGAGAAGGCAGCATTGCCGCACGTGTTTGTTGTCCGAGGGAAACACTTTAATACCGCCAGACCTCTTTACAGTTGGCAGTACGACTTCGCCCTCAGACCCTGAGTATCTGCTTTTGGTGTTACCGTTTTCCAATCGACCAGCCTGGCATGGTAGAAACTACAGGAACACGTATCCCAGCGAATTTAGCTCGGTTGGGTGATCATGGTTGGAAAGCCCGACCATCAGGTCGAGGTAGCAGCTTTGATCGGGATGGAATTCAACAAGAACATAACGGACCGGAAAGTTAGAGGTCATTACTCTGTGCTCCCTACATTTAGAGATGACCTGATCTTAATGTGCACAACAGCAAGGGACGATTTTCGACCTGATATAGGTTATTTTATTTGTACTAAATCAAGACATTGTATGTGATTACCAAGTCCAAGGGCGTAAAAACTACTCTTTCACACTGAAGAAGCAGATTTTATTGACCTGTTAGAGTTGAAACTAGACACATAGAAGCTTACTACAGAAACGCTCACATATGCCCGTGGACCTTTCCTCAATACAGATTCGAAAATCTGAACTTCAACTAACATAAACATGTGGAATATAATCAAAAATGGAAAGGTATGTTCGATAGTGTATTATTTCAAAAAAGAACATTTAGACATATATCCGTATGTAAATTCAAATATATGTTTATATATATAAATAGAAGCGAGAACAAAAATTATTGATTAGCTTTAATCATTTCCTCAACTTTATCAATAGATGCTCCAACAACTTCACCAACTTTTTTACCGTCTTTTATACAAATAAAGGTTGGCATAGCTTTGACGGAGTGTTTTTCGGCCGCTTTCTGGAAAAAGATATAACATTGTCGAGTTAAGTTAACAAAATTAGTGAAAATCAATAAAACTATTCCAACGGGTATTACAAACCAATGAACAAATAGTGTTTAGAGTAAATAATGAAGTACTTACCGAAAGTATATCAACATCGACTTTCAAGAAGACTGCATCATACTTCATACTGATTTTTTCGAATTCAGGAGCTATTTTCTTACATGGGCCACACCAAGTTGCGAAGAAATCAATAACTACCAACTTCGATGCATTTGCATTTAATATCTTATCAAATTCTTCCTAGAAATTCAGGAAATGAAAGGTTAATCTATACACTGGATTGGTATTAAAAACTCGAATAGACTAATGACTGAGATAAAGAATCTTTCATATATACTCAAAAAGTAATGAAGTAAGCAATCATTATGATTCATAGCAAGTCTATTCAAAACCTGATTCACACATATGTACAGACTTCAATAGACCGACAGGTTTAATGGCGCTTTCGTGTGTCTGGTAATATTCAATTGACTGCACCATGTATAGCCAAAGTGGCAGTTATTTGAGGATTTATATATCTCATAATTTCAGTTCATTGCAAAGAAATGCGGTTTCTGAAAGCCAACAACTTTCACACTTGAAGCCGCATTCGATAATACCAATACGTCATACCAGCAACTATACTTCGGATACTAAGAACTTACATCACTATCCACATGTATCACTTTCGACATCTTAACTAAATAACAGGTTCTCAACTGTGTCACGGAGAGATTGACCTTTACCCGAAGTATCCTCGAAACCAGATTAAACAAACAATGTCCAATATCCAATATCTTTTTCACGAGCTAGTGTAGACCGATTGATTGCTTTGAGCTCGATTATTGTTCTTTCGGTATGATTCCAGGTGTTTGGTAGTGTTCAATGAACGAGGGTCTAGCCACTCGACTGTATGATTCTAGTCAGTTCGCTGTTGTTTGTGTGTGCCGTGATTTGATTGTAAACGTTTGTTTCAGGGCAGTACGGTCTCTAGATACCAGCAGCTATCACATTACCAGACCTGAGAGCAGCTAGTTTCAATGTAGAGAATAAAAAGAGGAGAAATCTAATGCTAATGAGAAGATTTCGGAATTAAGTAAATAAATAGATACTTACTTTATTTACGCCTGTTACTGCCAATGGAGCATAGGCCGACCACCAGTTTTCTCCAACCAACTCTGCCCTGGGCTTCCCTCTCCAGTTCTGTCCAATTTGTGTTCATTCCTCTCATATCTTTCTCTATTTCTTGGCGTAATGTGTTCCTTGGCCTTCCTCATTTCCTTCGGCCTTGAGGGTTCCATGTGAGGGCTTGTCTCGTGAAGCAGTTTGGTGCTTTTTGTAGTGTGTGTCCTATCCACTTCCACCGCTTCTTCCTGATTTCCTCCTCCACTGCAATCTGGTTTGTTCTCTCCCACAGTACATTGTTGCTGATGGTGTCTGGCCAACGATTGCGAAGTATTTTGCGTTGGCAACTATTAATAAACACTTGTATCTTCTGGATGATGGCTTTCGTAGTTCTCCAAGTTTCCGCTTTATACACTGGTCAAGTCTTCTCACTAGTAGACCTCCGAGAATTTCCTCACGAAACGCTCTGCTGATGAGTCCGATACCAGGACGAACCGGCCGTCCAGTGCTTCCAGGTTTCTAATAGTGGTCCAACAATGACTGATTGATTGATGATTTCAAATGTGTAAAAAATTATACTAATGACGTCTAGATGAATTTTAGAATGTCGTTTCTCGATTGAATTAATAATTACCTATTTTGTTGCTAATTTAAACATGTTTCCCCTGAATACATATGTGAATATCCTTGTTTTTCTGTGTAAAGTAAGCATTCTCCTATACTTTACGCTTTCTGTTTACCTGTTTAAAAGACTGAAGATTTCCCGCGCCTAAAAAATTATGTTTAAGCTTTCCAACAATAAAATGTATCACATAATAGAATAGTTGATTAATAATGACTTCGTGTATTTTGTAGGTGCGGTTAACAGTTCTGTTGTATGGTATATCAGAGTAGATGAGGCAACTCTGTGTAAAGTAGGTTTTATTTTATTTTCATGTTTGAGGGTGGCATTGATCAAGCGCTTGGAACAGTCAGTGAGAATTTTGCTAGAAATCATATGGTATTTCCCACCTTCAGTTTTAACGTCTCTTATAGAAATGTACGCTCAACAAGCAAATTCATGTACATGGACAAACTGAAATATTTGAAAATAAAATCTTCATGTTACTGATCAATCGTTTCGTTCTGACATGGGACTTATCGGCAGTGCTCATCCACAAGGTCTAACTATGGCTTGTGATTCCGGCAATGTAAAAACAATGATCTCTGTAACTCTAAGTGAAAAATGCGATCGCAGTGTTTTTTGAGTGGTAATCAGTCCCCCCACCCCAACAAAGTTTATTCACATACACACACTGAAATGATATGATATAAGGGGTGTACGATCAAAAACAAAAGTATACCGAAAAAGCAACTTATACACACAAAACGTTTGGATATATTAACTGGTCTATCATACCGAAATGACTATCTTACTTACTTACTTACTTACTCTCGCCTGTTACCCCAATGGACCATAGGCTGCCCACCAGTTTGAAGGTGCGCCAATATTAATTGGGAGGTCCCTTAGATGCTGCTTCGATGTTGGGTGGGTTCAGTTGAGTTGTTCGATTCAGGAGTTCCTTAAAGTGCTCTACCCACCTATTTCGCTGTTCGTCAGTGTTGCTGATTACTTTCCCTTCCTTGCTTTTCACTGGTCGTTCTGGTTTACGATAGTTGCCGGCGAGCTTCTTTGTTGTTTCGTACAATTGTCTCATGTTTCCTTCTCTTGCAGCCTTTTCCGCCGTCATTGCTAGATCTTCCACATATTTTTGTTTGTCAGCTCTGATGCTCTTCTTCACTTCCCTGTTTGCTTCTGTGTATGCAGTTTGTGCGGTAACTTTCCCCGCTCTTGTTCGGCTGACATTGATTGCTGCCTTCTTGTTCCTCCTTTCTTCAATTTTTTCAATAGTACCAACAGAGATCCATTCCTTGTGATGGTACTTCTTGTGACCCAGAACCTCGTGACATGTTGAAGTGATTGCCTCCTTAATCCCCAATGTTGCTTCCTCTCCATTGAGTAGATCCCGAAATGCCTGGAACCTATTGGTGAGGGCTATCCTGAATTTGAGCTTTACAGTATCCCGAAGTAAGGCCGTATTAAACTTGTGTGATATTGTCTGTCCCGTTGCCCAGTGCTTCTTTAGTTTGAGTTTCATTTAGGCGATCAGCAAATGGTGATCTGAGGCTATATCAGCTCCTCTCTTGGTTCTCACATCCTCCATAGTCCTTCTGAACGTTTTGTTGATACAGATATGATCAATCTGGTTTTGAGTAGTGTGGTCCGGTGAAATCCATGTGGCTTTGTGAATGCGTTTGTGCGGAAATATTGTGCCACCGATGACCAGTTTGTTGAAGGCACATAGGTTTGCAAATCTCTCACCGTTTTCGTTTCTTTCTCCCAGTCCATGTCGTCCCATGATGTCTTCATATCCAGTGTTGTCCATTCCAACCTTGGCATTCAGATCTCCCATAAGAATCGTCAAATCCTTTGGTGAGCATCTGTCGACGATTGACTGCAGCCTTTCGTAGAATTGATCTTTAACGTCGTCATTGTAGTCATTGGTAGGTGCATAACATTGGATGACGTTCATTGTAATATCCGCTTTCTTTGTTTTGAAGGATGCTTTAATGATCCTCGATCCATGAGATTCCCATCCTATCACTGCCTTTTGTGCATGTTTGGATAGCATCAGTGCAACTCCTTGTTTATGTGAAGCGTTTTCCTCTTCGTGACCAGAGTATAACAGCAGTTCCCCTGAAGCAAGTCTCAGTTGTCCTACCTGTGTCCAATACGTTTCACTGATGCCGAACACCTCGAGGTTGTATCGTTTCATTTCTGCCGCAACTTGAAATAGTCTCCCAGTCTCCCACAATGTACGAATGTTCCATGTACCTAAAAAATGGTTGCTCTGGTTGTGAGAAGAGGCATCAGCCCCGTGACTTCCGAGGGAACTCGGCTTTCATCACGCAACGTCATAATTCTTCTTCCAACTGCCAGGGCAGAGTTAAAATGGTTTGAATTATTTTTTCTGGTTAGCGTTTTTTGGCAAGTGAGATTTCAACGGAGTGGGGTCGCCAACCCCATGTCCAACCCTCCTCCTATACCCGGGCTTGGGACCGGCAGTAGCGCCGAAGGTTCTACTGGGGGAGTTAAATAAATAGATAATGTAGGTTAATAATTGTCATTCAAAACAGTGGTTCCCTTTGATAAATTTGAATTGAGAAAAAAGAAGACATATTTTGTGAGATAATACCATTTCGTGCTTTCTTGTCAGTCACATACATGCAACATGTTATTTGTTTAAATACAGTTTTGAAGATAAGGTCAAAATTTCTTATTTACCATGACACTCAGTCACTCACTTAGAACCATGAACCATGTTGAAGGCCGAGTATGTGACCGCGATGATTTAAAACTTCTTGATGCGTATCCCAGTAAGAAGCCGGTTTGTGTAGTAGATAAGATGGCTTTTTTAAGTATGTAAAAGAAAGAAAAAGGTGAAAAGTGTAGGCATCAAGATGGATCTGAGATGTGTGATGATGAAAGCCTCTTAACTGCTCGAAAAGCCTGGAACGGTTATTTGGATTCGGGTAAACAGAGGTCAGTGAGTTCAGTGAATATGAATAAGGCCAAGGCAGGATTGGCTGGACGGAATAAAGCCTATGTTCGGAACCCTTCACTTAGGGTACATTATATAACGGGACCTAGAGTTGATTCTAGGATGAGTGATGGCGGTACTGTAAAGGCTAAGAAGCCTAGGAAACAACATGATGCTACTATTATTAAGAAGCCTAAACATCATTCTCTTTCGGATGCTATCACCAGCAATGGAAATAGTAGTCATCAGAATTTTAGTAGTGACAGCGATATTAAGGAGATAGAAAGTGTGAGCAGTCCACCTATAGTGACTAGTCGATCAACTTCATCGAACGAGCCTTCTAGTGTTTCGACGTCATTGGACCTTGTCGCGAATGTTAAGTTGATTGAGGATACACAAGGTTGTGTAACTGTAAGTGTTCCTACTCCGGTTGACTGTCAGTCAAGTGATGATGAGAAGGAAGCGTCTGATGGTAACAGTCAGTCTATAGTGTTGCATGGTAACGATGCTAATGACGTGCATATGTCTTGTGTCTCTGAAACGGAACATGAAGAATAACAAGTGAGTTTATCGGTTTTGGATTGCGATATCAATGTCGTTCTTTCATGTAGCGAGACGCGTTATACAACAATGGAAGAGTTTCACTCTACGGATGCTAGTGCAGCCAGAAACGACGCGACTTGTCTGACACAATGGAATCATGATGACGATGATAAAAATCTGGATGTCACTTTTGTGACAAATGAGTTACCGAGGATGACGAATGCTGATCAAACCTCCTCTGTATCAGGAGATGGAGAGGTAAATATTGGTCCCATTTTATGCTACTTAAAGTCTTCTGGAGACGATGAAATGTCAAAATTGGAGATCCCACCCTTGCATATTATCTATGGGTCAAGAACTTCTGTTGATAAGTCAGCATCATGGACTTCATTGTATCTGCCGATCGGGGCAAGTGGTGGTGGAATGACGACTCATCCCCATGATATGGAATGTAGTTCCCGGATAGGATATGACCAGCTTTACAACGTGTTGTACATGTTCGTGTGGGTTAATTGGGTAAGGTTTATACTACCGTTAGGTCATGCTACGATAGATAG